ACCCTCCCAGGGAACAATTCCTTCCCAATATCCCATCCATCCCTGCCCTCTGGCAGTGGGAGCCATTCCCTGTGTCCTGTCACATTGTCAAAGTCCCTCTCCAGCTCTCTTCAGGCCTTGATTCCATAAATGAGGTGATACAAGGACAGGTATCACCCCTGTGCCCTTGGGAGCAGGGCTGTGGAGCTACAAACTTGAGGCTGTATTGCAGGAGTTTCCATATGTGCTGTGTTCCAGTGTTTCCATAGCCAGTGGATTATGCTTCAGCTTTCCCAGGATAAGAACACCTGGTTCAGGTAAATAAATGTGCTGCTGTCTCAGGTGTCTTGCAGGTGGGAAAATGTAATTTTATCTCACAAATTAACCAGAAAACTCCCTTAGGACAAGCCACTGCATTAAAAGATCTTAGCTAATGGGTTATTATGCCTCTAGTTTTATTCAGCCATGGAGAACTGCAGGTGTCCTGCTTATGTTTCCAGCTGGCAGTGAGCTGTCCAGTGGAACTCCAGGGTGGCCTAAAGGTGGTTTTCATGGTCTAAACTCAGCTCTACATGAGGCATGAGTAGAGTGCTCTGGGAGTTCACTCAGGTTTGTGCTTGGTCTTTTGCTCAAACAGCTTCAGCTTTTCACAGGGATTGTCGTGTTCTAAGGGTTCCACTGGGAGGCTTCCACCCAGTTCCCAAACTCACCCAGTCTTTTCCATAGCTTACAGGAGAGTCTGGAATCACAACATACAGTATAGAATCAATGGACCTAAAGTCACCTTTGGAAATCCTCTTCCAGCTTGGAATGAAAAACAAAGCAGTATTTGAAAATGGAATAGTCTCTCCTTTCCATATAGTGCATTTTCTTTTCAGTTTACTTTCCTCTCTAAAGCAGCTCCTTCCACCTCATTAAGTGGAGTACAAGGGACTTGTTTTTCCAGAATTGCTCAGAGGAAAGGGTGGCATTGCCAGAATTCCAGTGTTTGTTTTGCAGTGACACATGATTTCCCCACTAATTGAGATAATTACCTGTTGTTAAAGATAACCAGTCTCCATTCCAGGTGTGTCACAACCACATTCATGTCCCCAAAATGCAGGGTCTAAAGTACATGTGTGTGCAGGGGCTGGGAAAACACCTTGTGACCACACTGGGCTGAAAAAATCTCAGCAGCTGAGCTTTGGTATGAAGATACAGCCCCAACCCTAACTGTAGTCTTAGACTCAGTCAGGCTCTAAACCAGAATATCTCTGTTTCATCACTCAGTGGAGGTCAACCAGTGGGTGTTTTTTCCTGTTATCAGAATGAATATCATGAGAGGAATGTGCATGCTGATGTCTAGATCTAATACTAATTCCAATTATATATTGGAATATAAGGCAGATATTCTCCTGTCTTCAGCCTGTAGTTCAGTCCAGCTCTGAAAAATTTGAGCATGAAGAGATTAAAAAGTATTTTATTATTTTCCTGCAATTTGAAAATTTTATGGTGGGAAAAAACCTTGTCTAATAATTACTAATTTGAATTTCTGTATGGTTATCAGCCATATACACTGGATTTGTTTTTCCTGATTATCTCCCTTCTTCCTCTTCTATGCCCTGGGAGGAAATAAAAAAATGTATTTCTATAACCTAAACCTGTACCTGCCTGAAAAGATGTCTAAGCCAGTATAAACCATTCAGGGGAAACTGTCTTTGAGAAGCTGCATAAAAATTTCCTAAGTCACTTCTTTTACCTTCACTCCTTCCTTAGGTATTTTTTGGGTGGGGAGAAAATGAATAAAGCAGATAAAAAGCAGCTGGTGAGGTTAAAAGGCAGCAGCTGTAAGAAGGGCACAGAGTTTGGAGTGGTTGAGGAGAAAGGAGCATTAAAAGGGTCTTTGCATGCAGTAAGCTGGAACGAGATGATCTTTAAGGCTCTTTCCAATCCAAACTATTTAATGATTCTGTGATCCTGCCGTGTTTTCTCTTCAGACAGGAAGGTCGGAAGACTTGATGAAAAGTTTATGGGAAACAGCTGACATTAGATGAGGTAAAGCAGGTGCACAGTTCATGCCATTGTAGGTACTAAACAATAACATTAATTTCATATTTTAGAGCATGATGACTGTTAGAGGAACATTAGGGCCAGTCCTCCCTTCAAGCACCACAGGCTCTTCATCTTCAGGGCAAAGCCCAGGGGCGTCCCAGCAGCACCAGACCAGGCCATGGGCCAGTGCTGGGCCACCTGCAGTGGCATTTCAGGCCACCTGGAACAGCTTCCCAATTTAGGTTTTTCTGCAGCCAACTCCTTTCATCTCCACTGTAGCAGGGTTTGTGTTTTAGAAATTGAGTAAAAAGAGAACAAACACAAGAAACAAATTGCCTTGCTGTTAAAAATGGCCATAATTTATCCCTCATGATATAGCACAGTGCCAGTGCTCTGAGCCCTTTAGAGTCACATTGAATTTGTAAGCACTGTTAGCCTGTGCCCCACAGTGCAGGTGTGATTGGTGCAAGTACTTGTTACTAGGATATTCTGTGTTAAAAGAGAAAAAAAAAACCAAAAAACAACAAAAAGTGGGTTTTAAAAGGTTTGAACTACATATATCATGTGGCAATAAGGGTAACCAGGGTAGCAGCAGGTTGTCTTGAGATTTGCTTGAAATATTTGAATTGGAGACTTCTGAGATGGTGAAGCTCCATTTGTGAGAGGGATTTTGGCTGCTCTGTCTCTTTTTATTTCATTCACAGCAATTCATCAAGGGCAGGAGGACTGGGGATGAAGTTTAAATAGACTATTTCTAGGATAAATGCAAACAGCATTTCTGAACTTTCTGAAATGGTTAGGAAGAAGAGACAGGAAAAGCCTTTTTTAGAACAGAACTGCTATTCAATACATATGAAAAAATTTATGGGCAGAGATCAGTAGTATCTGAAAATGCATTTCTCTCAAGTGCATCCCTGTTTTCAGAGCCTCAGCCAGAAGTGATGTCTGCTCCTTCTTTTTCTTTCTCCAGCTAAGTGCTCTGAAGATTACATAGGTCAAAAGAACTTTTATTGCAACTCTGCCTTCATAAACTAAAAGCCACTGCATCCATAAAGCTGATACACTTGTAATTTTAAGTACTTTGATAACCTGCCAGAAAATACAGCTGTGTGGAGTTGGGTGTTATGCCTGATAGCCTGCAAGAATCCATCAGTCCCTCATTCCATTGCCAGGGTATTTGCACTTTATTCAAGGAAGAAAACAGAAAAACTATTTGCATTTTGCATTAAAACAATACACAGCAAGGAGCTGTCAGGTGAGACAGAAGGGACTGAAATGAGGTATTCCCAAAAGATCAGACCTACAGCTTGGAATGGATGTGTGTCAGCCATGGCAGGGCTGCACGTGTAACAGCAGAACAGAAATGTGGGACAGTGGGACTTTTCTTGAGGGAACCTTGGCTCCCCAAGGAATGGGCACGGTGCAGAGGCTGCCAGAGCTCCAGGAGTGTTTGGACAGCGCTCTCAGGGATGGACAGGGTGGGATTGTTGGGGTGTCTGTGCAGGGCCTGGAGTTGGACTGGATAATCCCTGTGTGTTTGTTCCCACCCAGAAGATTCTATGATTCTAGGCTTTGTCAATAGAAAAATATGCATTTTGAACAGAATCTTTGCGCAAACATTCCAGGCTTTATTTTGTTGTGGAACCAGTCTGCCCACACTCATAATTAGTTGTGTGTTTTAAAAGGTAACAATGGTTTTATTGTTACCACCTACTTGCTGTTTGGCAATATGGAGAGTTACACTGGAAATGCAGTATCTGACAGCTGGCTTTGTCACAGGGGGCAAAGAAACATAACTGGAATAGTGGGATACCATTCAGATGGGGGGATCACAAGGGTCTGCAGAGAGAATAATGGAATTCTGAAATTTCCTGGTTGGGAAGAGTCCCAAAGGATTCATCTAGTCCAGCTCCAGCCCTGCACAGACACCCCAACAATCCCAGCCTGTGCATCCCCAAGAGCATCATCCAAACACCCCTGGAGCTCTGGCAGCCTCGGGGCTGTGCCCATTCCCTGGGGAGCCTGGGCAGTGCCAGCACCTCTGGGGGAAGAACCCTGATATCCGACCTGAACCTCCCCAGCACAGCTCCAGCTGCTCCCTGGGGTCTGTCCCTGGTAATCAACATCTTTCATTTGTGTCTTTATCCCTGTTTGTAGTGAAGAGATACCATTTGTCCTCTGCATTGTGTGACAACTCCTATTGGATTCTTGGCCAGTACAACTGACTTACTTTTAAACTTTTATACAACTTAATGCTTTTTTCAACATGGTGTTCAGTCACTGCCATAGTGCCAAGATAACGTGGGAAATGTTTCTGTCAGCAGGCTTCTGTTCTGTATTTCCACCAGAAAACAGGGATCCACAAGCTGAAATAGATGAAAATTGTGTATTAGGTACATGTATGAGAAACCAGTGGGATGCAGATGTTGAAGGAATTTAGTACTTAGTAGGATCAAGGATTGAGACAAGAAACTGAGGGATAGCACAGAAATATGGAGACTATCAACTCAGATCCAGAGAAGATCTAGTTAGAATTCAGAGGAATTCAAACTAAAGGAAAGTACACACATTGAGTGGTAGTGGGGCTGTACTGAAATCAGCCCTGACTTCGAGACACTCTAAAATTTACGAGGAAACCCCAGACTGCGGACGAGTGTGCAGTGCCGCTGTGATTAACTAACCCTTCTCTATTGCTGTGATTAATTAACCCCTCTCTATTGCCGTAATTAATTAACCATTCCCTCGGTAATTGCCCCGCTCGCACCGCCTGTCCGGGATCCCCTCAGAGCGCGGCACCTCCGCGCCGCCAGGGGGCGCCCCCCGCGCCTTTCCCGCCTTGCCGGCGCTCCAAGATGGCGGCGGCGGGGCCGTGGTTGTGGCCGGGACCATGGCCGGCGGTGACGGCCGCGGTGGCGGCTCTGCTGTTTCTGCTGCTGTGGCGGCGGCGGCGGGCGGGCGGCGCGGGCCGGGTGTGCGTGGCCGTGCTGGGAGACCTGGGCCGCAGCCCGCGGATGCAGTACCACGCGTTGGCGCTGGCCCGGCACGGGCGCTCGGTCGCTCTGCTGGGCTACCTCCGTGAGTGAGGGGCGGCCGGGGGAACGCGGGGCCGGGCGGGGCGGCCGCAGCGCTGACCGGGCTCTCCCCCCGCAGAGAGCCGGCCGCACCGGGACGTGCTGCACAGCGAGAACGTCCGGCTGGTGCCCGTGGCGGAGCTGCGCGGGCTGCGAGGTGCGTGCGGGCCGGGCAGCGGAGGGAGCGGGGTGTGTGGCACCATAAAGAGCCCGCAGCGTGTGCGGGACCAGCCCCGCCGCACGCACCGCTCCACACTCGTGTCTCCCTTTCTCTGTTAAGCAGGAGCCGATGGAATTAAACACCTGCCGGTACATTGGTGCTGTTCACATGCAGAGTGAAATGTGGAAATTATTTTCATTCTACCTCTTCCTCCCCACCTTGTTTTACCCCTGTTGCCCAGAGAAGCTGTGGCCTTCCCATCCCTGGAAGTGTCCAAGGCCGGGTTGGACAGAACTTGGCGCAACCTGGGATAGTGGAAATTGTCCCTGCCCATGGCAGGAGGTGGAATGAGATGAGCCTGAAAGGCCTTTCCAACCCAAGCCATTCAATGAGTGTAGGATTTCTTTCCGTACAAAATACAGAAAGAGAACTTGTAGGGATCACGAGATGTTTACATAGCTTTATAGTGATCATAGAATAAAATCACAAGGGTTGGAAAAGCCCTCTAAGAACATTGAGTTCAACCATTTCCCCAGCAATGCCAAGGCCACTAAGTAGACCCAGGTCCCCAAGTGCCACATCCACTTTTAAATCCCTCCAGGGATGGTGACTCCTGACCACCCTTCCAGTGAAGAAATTTTCCCAATATTCAGCCAAAACCTCCCCTGGCACAACTTGAGGCTGTTCCTTCTCCTGTCCCTGTTCCCTGGGATCAGAGCCCAACTCCCCCTGGCTGTCCCCTCCTGTCAGGGAGTTGTGCAGAGCCAGAAGGGCCCCCTGAGCCTCCTTTTCTCCAGGCTGAGCCCCTTTCCCAGCTCCCTCAGCTGCTGCTGCTGCTCCAGCCCCTTCCCAGCTCTGTTCCCTGCCCTGGACACGCTCCAGCCCCTCAGTGTCTGCCTTGGAATGACCCAGCCCATCCAGATCCCTCTGCAGAGCCTTCCTGCCCTCAAGCAGATTGACACTCTCACCCAACTTGGTGCCATCTCCAAACTTGCTGCACTCAATCACTTACCCAGGTCATTGGTAAAGTTATTGAACAGGTGTCCATTTTCATGTTATTTTCACCCTGTCTCTGCAGAGCTGGCTGGTTCTGATGTTCACATTTCTGTGGGGAGAGCTCTAATATTCTTGTTTTTCTGTCACTTTGCAGTGGGTCCAAAGCTTTTCCAGTATGTCCTAAAGGTGCTCGTGCAGTCAGTGCAGTTACTGTACACGTTGCTGAGGATAGATCAGCCATCCTATATTCTTCTTCAGGTACGTCTTGTGTTGGGACTAATTTCAGTAAAAATAAATAGTTCTATATTACAGGGCATCTCAGATATTGCTCTAATTATTTCAGAGCTGAACTGGCCTCATCAGTGGTGTAAACATGTATCCAGGTATTTTTTGGCTCTAAACTTTGATTTGTCTGTTAACAAGTTATTTTCTTTTCCTGTTAGTTGTGCTGTCAAACTTCATTGCCATGGGTAGTAGTAAGGAATAAATCTTACTTGAATTGTTGATGTCTTTATTGGAGGGGAATTTTGATCTTCATCTAAGGGTTAAATTAGAAGTATCTGCCAGTGTTCATAAGTGAATACAAACAGTCTCTGTTCATGAAGCTCCTTTAAGGTGATACAAATTTGATTTTTTGTTTCTGGTAGTTGCTTTGTGTTTGTCACTTGGCCACAGTCTTGTGCTATTTTGGTTTTGTTTTTGAGCAGAATCCCCCAGGCTTGCCCGGTATAGCTGTTGCCTGGGTGGCAGGGCTGTGGTGGGGGAGCAAACTCATCATTGATTGGCACAACTATGGATACACCATCATGAGCCTGAGCCACGGGAGGAACCACCCACTGGTGCTGATTGCAAAATGGTTTGTACAGTCATTTCTGCTCTTTATAAATGGCATGCCTTGGTGGAATTCAGAATGGAGGCCAGTGGGGAGAACATAATTGGCACAGGGAGGGGTTTCTGGGCTTTGCTGTTTAAAACTGGTTTCTGTTCTGCCGCTGCTTTATTGAACACGTGGGAGGGGAGTTGCAGGAAGTAGGCAGGTTGCTTTTATGTACATATGCTAATGCTGATCTTGTTACTGGAATTTCTTTATATGCCCTGGGTTTTTTATTCTCTAATGCTGCTTTACACTCCAGCTCTTCTTTGAATAGCTCCTTGCTGAATATAATTGGTTATGTGTAGTTAAAGTTTTTAAAGGCTTTGGAGAATAGGAGTCCATCAAAAATTGGCAGTTGAATTTCAGTTCTGGGGGCAGTTGGGTTTCTTTGGGTTTTGTTTGGCTTTCATCAAGCATGGGCGCTGGGGACAGTTGCTGCAATTGCCTGCCTGTAGTTTCTGACTAACATTTCATTTTTGTCAGGTATGAAAAGCTTTTTGGGCGCTTGTCTGACTATAACTTGTGTGTCACTGATGCCATGAAAAAAGATCTCTGGGTGAATTTCAAGATAAAGTAAGTCATGTGCCTCAGACAATTTAGTAGTGTGTGCTAAGTAAGTGAAGGAACAGATCCCTGAGGATTCAGGATTCAGAGGGATCTTACAAAAGCAGCTCCCCTGAGCTCATCTGTCACCACAGAAGCACATCAGCTCAGTTTTGTGATGGGCCAGTGCAGTGTGGGCATTCAGGGATGTTCGTTATCCTTCTGAACTATCACTGCATTGACTGAGGTGGCAGACCAGGAGCCATGGAAGTTTGCTGCAGGTTGCCTGTGGAGTCAGAGTGGGACAGATATCACTGGGATTTTAATGATTACTCTGGCCTGCCAGCTTGTCTTGAGGGCTTTAAGATCAGAGCTGCTCAGAGGCAGCTATGGAGTAAGTTTGAAAATCAGGACAGTGATGTCTGCAGTTTTTACAGATGCATTTCACCCCTAGAATAAGCACACAAGAAAGGGGTTCTTTGTAACTTGTGTCCACCTTGGTGTGTTCCAGCAAACTTCGGGAATACAGGACGTTGTAAGAGTAAAAAAATTAATTACTTTGTTGTGTTGATTTAGTTTATTTCTTTCTGATTACATTGTTGCAGCCTGTCACTGTACCATGTGCATGTTGTTACATCTGTATCTTATTTAAGCTGCACATTTATTTCCTCCCAGGGCTGTAACGTTGTATGACAAACCAGCATCTTATTTTAAGGAAACACCATTAGACCTCCAACACAACCTGTACATGAAACTTGCCAAGGACTATGAGCCTTTCAAACCACGGTATGTGCAAGTGCAGCTGCCCCTGCAGTCCTTAACCCAGGGACATGGAGTTGTGGCACTTAAATTACCAGAAATACTTGTGTGGGGTATTCTGACTCACAGCAGGCACAGGGGGCACTGAGTCACCTTATTTGTCACTAGGAGAGGCCAGAAGAAGTGAAATGATTGAGCTGTGGTAACACAAGTAGTAGAAGTGTTTTGTTTTCAAAGAAGTTGCCATAAGCACTGAGGCAATCTCTGAAGATTGTGGAGGGTGGAACTCTGCAGTTGTCTGCATCCCACTGATGCACACTGCAATGTTTGGATGCTTCCTTAATAGCATCCCTTCCTTAATTACTGTGGAGAGCCTTCAGGATCTTGGTCCAAGTGTTAAACACTCCCCTCTGGACTTCAGGATGTCACCTGTAACAGGTGTACCAGGGAGTTAACTTCACCAAACTAAGGCTTGAAAAAGAAGTTAAATCCACAGTGCATGGTGGGATTTTTTGGAAATGCCCAGCTCAGAATGTGTAGGTTTTGAGTTTAGTTGAATAAATGTGCTGTTGGCCTCTGCTGTACTAAGTGTGAGACAGGCTGTGGAAAGGGAGGCTGACTCTGCTCAACTTGTGAAGGAAAACATTTGGTTGGAAAGTGGAATTGTGCCTATAGCAGCAGGAAAGAGGGAAAAATTGCCTGCCCTGTCCTGGTATTTCTGTAATGTAATGATTCCGTTTCCAGACGAGTTGAGAAGCAAATCTGAAGCCAAATGTGTGGAAATTCGTGCCAGTTAAGCAGAGTGTTCCCTGCTGTTGCTGGCTGTGTGTGTAGCTCATCCTCAGGAAGTTGTGTTTCCATAGTACAGAGCTCAGTGCCCACAGATCGGCCTTCACGGAGAGGGATGGGAAAAGTGGGAATGTGCTGAAGACCAAGGGCCGGCCAGCCCTTCTCATCAGCAGCACCAGCTGGACAGGTTGGGAAGCAGTTTTATTTTTCATACAAAATAGGGCTGTTTGTACTTTCTCACAGTTGAAGTTATGTTTGTCCTTTGTTTTCATGGAAGGATTTGAAGACAAGATGTGTATCATGCAACTAAATGTTGTGTAACTTACATAATGCTACAAATGAATGGTTTTTTAGAAGTTGTATTTTAATTATAAAGCTCAACTTTAAGAATGATTAAAAGAGGTTTCCTATTTGCTTTTTTTAGCTTTCATTCTAGACATACTGTCTTGCAGGGTGATGTAAAACAGATTAAAAAACTCAAATATTTATTCTTTACTGAGTACCCTGAACCCTGAAGTGTCTCTGCCTATGGCAAGGGACTGGGATGAGATGAGCTTTAAGGTCCCATCAACCCAAAGCAATTTGTGATTCCATGATTTCTGATGATGCTTATCACATAATTATGTATATTTTTTTCCCTCTGTATGAGGAAGGGAACAGAGACTGGAAACAAATCCATCACCAGTGACCATGGGCAGGATTTTCTTTATCTTTGAATAATCAGGGCAGTTTTTAGACTTAATTCTCAGTTTTAGAAACTAGAAAAATTTAACTTGATAGCTTTGAAGTTGTACAGTATTTGTCTGTCATATTGTCAACAAGGGAAATAAATAAACACTGTGCATGGTTATGGACTTTTATTTATGAAAATAAACTGGGAGATTTTTAATAGCACATTCTAGTAAACAGTATAAGTACAGACTATGCACTTAACCTTTGAGTGCATGGTCTGTATTTAAATTGTGTAGGTGAAGGTGAGGAAAATCTCAATTGTTATTTAAAGATAAAAATTAAAAAGGGTAGAAATATGAATGTCACTAATAAAAGTCTTCTCTTTCAGAGGATGAAGACTTCTCAGTCCTTTTAAGAGCTTTGGAAGGTTGGTATGAAGGAATTGATCTCACTTTTTCAAAGAGGTCTTTGGACACTTAAAAATAGTTTTGCTAAAGAGCAGTGCTTCTATATTCAGGTGAAAAAGCAGTTGTATTTGATTAATTAGCACTAATTTCAGATTAGTAATTAAAATACAGCAGTGCAACATCTCAATTAAATTAGAGGAGTTGTCAGGGGAAATTAAATATCTAACTGGCTGCTAAACTGCAGTTTTATTTTCTGAGCTATTACACCTACTCTCCACAGGTATCTGCTAATGGGAAGGGAGGGAATACATTGTCTTATACTGTAGACTTTGTAGCTGCAATTCCAAAATGATCTATTGAAGCAACTGATTGGGGAGCAGTTGAAGAAATGCTTTGTGCATAAACAGCCTGATTTATTTCTGTAGAAGTCTGTAAATGTTAACACTGCTGAATTTACTGCTGTGTTACTAATACATGCTTGTAAGGAAATTGCTTGTAGTGGGAAGCTCAATAATTAATGCACTGTCACCACTCTTCAAACAAGCACCCTGAGATTTCTGAGCTCTGATCATTGTTTTATCTTCTCCAGATTATGAGAGGTTTATCGAGGAGGGAGCCAAGCTTCCAGCTTTAGTGTGTGTCATAACAGGTAAGAATGTTTGTGTTCAATTCTTTCAGTGCTAACAGAAGGTTTAGTTGTCTCTTTTGTTCTGTGCTGACTCTTCTGTTGCTGGTGGGAGAGAGAAGGGACTGCTGTCTTTGTGTCTGGTTATAAGGACAGTGATTTATAGCTGAGTTATTGCACCATCCACCAGTTATCTTTAAGCAGCCTCCCTGTCTGCTCCAGCTTTGCAGAAAAAACAATCCAAGGTCAATGTTGAGATGATGCTGCAAAAGCAATGTCAGAGGAAGCAGCCTCAAGCTGTGCCAGGGGAGGTTTAGACTGGCTACTGGGAGAATTCCTTCATGGAAAGGGTGGTCAGGCATTGGCACAGCTGCCCAGGGCAGTGATGAAATCCCCATCCCTGGAGGAATTTAAATCCATGTGGATGTGGCACTTGGGGTCAGTGTTGGCCCTGACAGTGCTGGGGAACAGTTGGACTTGATCTGAGAGGGCTTTTCCAACCTTAAAAGCTCAATGATTCTACATTGATGGAAAAGTCATTGAAATACTGAAGAAGTCCAGGTGCACATTGCTTTCGAGGGAACTTAGATTTTCCATGTTTTTTAGGGTACCTGTCTTTTTAGGGTACCACAAGTGTTGTGTCCTGATTGTGCACCTGATCTAACAGGGGTTTGTATTTCACAGACCACACTGTTTTCACTCATCTTGATACAATATTTTTTCTGTTTTAAACAGGTAAAGGACCTCTAAAAGATTACTACAATGGACTGATCCAAAACCTGCACTTTAAGCATATCCAGATCTGTACACCATGGCTGGAAGCTGAGGATTACCCTCTTCTGCTTGGTAAATAGTGGATGATGGAAAAGGCTTGAGGATGTGTGGGAAACAGCTCGGCACAGTTGCAGGGGGCTGATGTAGACTGCACAGAAGCTGGGAGAATATAGTCAGGAATATTACTGGTTAGTGACAGGATATTCATGGATTTGACTCATTACAGAAAAGCTGTTTAATTCCTCTGGCTGGCATTTCCCTGTTTTCCTAAGAAGGAGCTGTGTTGTTTTTTCAGCCTGCTCTTTGCACTCTTTGTTTTTTCCAGCTGTGCTGAAATACAGGTACCTGTGCAGGTTCTACTTTAATTTCAGGGTCACTCCAGCAAATTAAATGAGAAAGTTGTTGGCTGACCAACCAAAAGTAGCTGAAATTCTAAATTAACATGTCATTGGAATGTTATTCCTTCAGCATCTTCATTGCAACAGCATAAACTGGGAGTAATAGAGTTATAAAATACATATTGAATGTGATCTTCATTCTGCAGGGTTAGAGCCTGACAATTTATGTGGCTGTAAAACACTGTTTATTTGGTCCTTTTCAAATAATGAACATAATGTCTGTAATACCACACTGTAATTCCTCTGTTTGAGCTGACTTCAACTGGGAGAGGTCACTAGTGAGCCATGCAGTGTATCCTGATTGGATTGTGATGGGATTTGCCTTTACTCTCCCATTCTTAGCAGACTAAGAGGCAGAAAGGCTGTTTTAAGATACATAAAACTTCAAAATCTCCTTTAATTTAACATGCACTCATTTATTACTTTTCTATAACATAACCATTTTAAGTTCCAAAACACCCTGTGCTTTATTTTTTTCCCTGATTGCTTGAAATTGTGTCTGGGTAGTTGAAAGTTTCACTTACACCATCCAAAGCAGCACAGAAGTAAAGGATTGCAGGAGGAGCTGCTTTCAGAGAGTTGAGACTGTGCTGTGTTGGTTTTTCAGGCTCAGCAGACCTGGGGGTGTGTCTCCATAAATCCTCCAGTGGTTTGGATTTGCCCATGAAGGTGGTGGATATGTTTGGCTGCTGTTTACCTGTGTGTGCAATTCATTTTGAATGGTAAGAGGTTATTCTGTTACAGCTCCAAGGTATCACATAAAACAATATTCTTACAAAGCCAGAGTTCAGCAGCTACTGCAGGAATTCAGTTAGATTCCTGTATTTTGTAATTTTAAAATTCAATAAGATAGAAATCAAGGTTGTTTTCAGTTTAAAAGTTAATACTTATTTCTACAAAATTAGGAGCATTTAATGCAAGCACTTGCCTTAAAGTATCCCTGTATTCCATTGTTTCCATATATTTAATTTTAAAAAAAAGCTTTCTTCTGCATAGACACATCTGTTCAGTGAAAGGCTGAGTGTGTGCATGGGCATTCTTGGAATTTATGGTCCTTTGGGAAAACAAAGCTTTGTAAAAGAAGATAAATTCTCTGTGAAGATTTCATGATGGATCATGGACAGATTTTCCTTGTGGGAAAAAAAATATCTAGCTTTAAAGTAGATCATTGCCCTGGTTTTTAATGGATGTCCAGATGAGTGGCCCAAAGACAGAATGAGGGAACTTTGGTATAGTTGTGGTTTATTTAGTCTGACATAGACAGGAGAAGAAGTCTTTAACTGTTTAAAATTGCCTGTTTAATTCCATTATGTCAGGCTTGTGCCATCTGGGGCCATAATGGTACAGATATCCTGCTTTGGTCCCTTTGGATGTCATTGTGCAATATTGAAAATGTCCCACTCGCTGCTTTTTGCCACAGCTTTCCTTCTGTGACTTTTTTTCACAGTTTACATGAACTGGTGAAACACAATGAGAATGGTCTGATATTCAGGGACTCGAAGGAACTCGCAGAACAACTGAAGGTAAAGGCTCTGCCTGATTTCTTTCCCCCTAGAAATAACCCCAGGGGTGTTCAGGGACATTCAGGGACTCGAAGGAACTCGCAGAACAACTGAAGGTAAAGGCTCTGCCTGATTTCTTTCCCCCTAGAAATAACCCCAGGGGTGCCACTGTGTGAGCAGCAGTTCTGAGCATCACCCCTGTGTTTTGCATTCTCACAAGGTACTGCCTGGCCTGGTGGGCATTGTTTGCCTCACTTACATTTAAATGTGAACCTGAAGCTGGCAAAAGCATTTCAAATAGTGGCCTTGTTCTCCCTGTGTGAGGCCAGAGCCCAGAACTGCAGCTGTAGTTGAGGGTTAGTATTGCAGAGGCTGGAATGAGCCTGAAATGGAACATGATAGTTATTTGCCTGTGGTTTTGCTTTTTAAATTACAGATGCTTTTCTTGGATTTCCCTACCCTGGAAGGGAAACTCCACAGCTTCCGAGAGAACCTGCGAGCGTCCCGGCAACTGCGCTGGGACCAGAGCTGGGACCAGACTGTCCTTCCCTTGCTGGGGAACAAGGAATGACTGGGGGGAGGGAGGGTGTCAGACACATTCCTGCAGCTGCAGAGATTTGGGAAACAGTGAATAAACACTTTGTATTGTCTGCACTTACTGTTTCTAACTCCTTCATCTTGGAACAGGGCTCACACTTCCTTTACAGTTTCCTGGTGAGTAAGAGGTGCTGAAGGTGCTGAGGTTGTTTGTTGTGTGAGAACCTGTGCTGCTTGAAGGTCCCTTTTTGGTGAAGATCCTTGAATACAGATAGAAGCTGTTAGCAGCTTTACCTCCTGTACAGTCAGCACTTTAGTAGGTGATTTGGGTACGTTTTTTTTTGGCATATGGCAGATGCTTTTAATTTGAGTTGTTTCACTTCAGCTGGTCAATTCGATGGCCAGTTAATTGCCCAAGCACTGAATATCATCCTGTGTGGTTTTATTGGCAAAGAACCATTTTGTTTTCCAGTTGTTTTTCCTTTTGACAGTGTGTGCAAGAGTGTGGATGCACAGCACTGTTGTGTGACAGCTTTACTGGGCACTTGGAGCAAGCAGAGCTTGCAGTGAGTGTTCTCCTTGTACTCTGAAATTAATGTGCCAATTTACCTTGGGAAAAAACATAAAATTCACCTCTTCTTGAACAGATGAACAGAAAAGGGAAAAAATAAACCCAAAATATATGAACCAAGTATGTAGAACTTATTTACTTTGTGAGTGCTTACTCAGGCACAGCCTTCAGCTTTTTATTAAGCTCAGTATTCACATGCAAGCCTAATGCTTACAAGATTTTTTCATCACCTTCTTGATGATAAAATAGATGTCAGTCATTGGTAAATGTGCTTGGTTTGGACTGTGTTTACTGCTCCTGACAGCTCCTGAGGGCACCTCAGGGTGGGAGGTGAGGACAGTGGGTTCTGCACCAGAAATTTTAAACTCTGAGCAACTATTGACAATCTGCTTTTGTCAAAAGAGAAAAGGTGAAAAAAGAGTCAAGGTGTTTTACTGCAGGAATTTGGCAAAACTTCGAGCTTATTGATTGAAGAATGATCCATAAAGACTGATTTGCCAATTTTTTAGTGGGTTTTGTTCCTGTTTTCAGTCAAAATCCTGTCTAGGGGTTTGGCCAGTCCTGTGCACATGGAAATAAATCAGGCACTTCTCTAATTAAACAGTAATGCCAAAAGCTTTAGAGAGGTTTCCTCTTCCTATAATAGATCTTTTTAGATCCAAAATGAGCTCTGTATAGAAAGTTTGACTTGAATTTTGTGTAAAGGGAGATAAGGGCTGCCAGTTTGTTTACTCTGGAAATAACACCTTTAAGTTCTTTCTTTTTAGGGACAGGGAACCAAAACCTGGGCTGGGGTTATTTCTGCTTGATCCCATCAGTCATGGCCTCCTTTAGCTTGAAGAATAAGTTTCTTCAGGTTTCAAGTTAGGTATCATCAGTTTTCTCTCCATTGCTACAGGAGGAGGAGGTTGAAGTTTTTAAGTAGTTTTTAATAGAGAAAAGTCAAAAGAGAAGACAGAGCAGCACTTTGATTTTTATGCTTCAGGACCAATGCTGCCCGACAGGAGAAGGATTAATGGGTGATGGAAAGTTCCAGAGCAGGGGAGCTCAGTCCCTCTTTGCAGGATACCTGGAGCACTGCTGTGTGGAGTGATTCCTTTTTCATTCCCAGCCTGAGGGGATGGATTCCCAGCAGCCACTGTGGAAGTGGCAGTTCTTATGTGAGAGAAAGGAACATCAATTCTGACTTGTCATCCCTGCAGAGTAAAGATGCACCTGATTTACAGCAGTCTGTGACCTGCTCTTACAGCAGAGTCATCCTGGGACACAACTACAGGTACTGGTCACTGTTTTATTGGGGGTTTTTAAGCTAACCCAAACTGCAAGTATGTACAGACATAAAAGACCAGAGTAGACAATTACAGCTGGTTTTAGAATCAAAACCCACTAATTACTCTGAAACATTATTTTGTTCCCTTGTCTGTGTGAGCTGCTCATCCTGTGATCCTGCAGGTCGCCCCCAGTATTTACAAATCGCAACACAAAACACCCCCCACTTGAATTCTGTTGTCTTCTACAAAATCAGAAGTGAAGTGTGACTGGGGCTTTTTGGTTTCTGCTGCTTGAGGTTCAGTCACTTCCCAGGGGCAGCAGCAGGCTCAGATCCAAGCTGGGAATTAGGAGAAGGAAGGACTCCAGTGTCCATGTGTACAGTTGTATCCTCAGAACCTCATTTCCAGAATTCAGGATAATCCTGTCACAAGGCTGAGACAGCTCCTGTTGGTCTCAAAATTCCAGTTCTGTTTGCCAAGCCTATATAAATAGCTGTAGAATAGTTACATCTGGCTGCACATCATAGAGGAAATTACAGCTGCTGTGGGCTGGAATCATCTGCCACCTGATGCCAACTTTATCTGTGAAAAGAGTTTTTTATATTTATGCTTAATATTTATATTTATATAAATTTTATAATTTCAATAGAATATTTAATAAAGTTAATATTTTAATATATTTTCATATCCTTTTTTTATATTTATATAATTGTATTTATGCTTAATAAAATGGAGAGCAAAAGTTGCATGACAAGTTCTTGTGTTTAACATGCTGTCATTGACAGACAAATGCTTATCAGTGTTTTTATAAAAATCCCATTAATGCCTCTGCTGAACACTCAGTGTCACTTTGTGAATTAACCAGAATTTCACAGCATATCCTGAGTTGAAGGAACCCACAAGGATCATCAGTTCCAGTTGGTGAACACCAGCTGAACAGCAAAGAGTCTGCAAAAGATTGGCTTTAGAAGTGTATATGAAGAAAAATCCCCAAATCTCTATTTAATCTCTGCTGGGGGTTTTAACCCTCAAAGAACATAAGATAAGATAAAGGCTTCAGGCTGCATCTCAGATGTTATCACTGTGACAGTGCAGCACTGATTGCTCCCTCCTTTCGGCTTAAACCTTTTTTTACTTTCCTATTGGCACCAGACTTACAAATCATCCCTGGCAGATGTGAGCTGTGATAGCCAGGATGTACCTAAAGGTGAGCTCCAAGCTCCTGAAGACATCCAGGAGCAAAAGCTGCTGCTCTTAAATCCAGCTCTAGGATAAGCTCCTGCTCTTGGACAATGCTCCTGCTTCTCTCTACCACAGAACAAGTAATGGGGAAAGAGGCAAAAATGCAAAACTATTGAACACTTCATGGAACAGGCACCCACCCAACTCAGCCTGGAACAGCTGATACGTGTCTGGATTTCGGATTGTGGAGGCAATGAACACCTCAGGAGCTTTCCTGTCTGCTCTGGAGGTGGAGAGTTTCTGCAGCATCCCAATGAGGGCCAAAATTATCTCAGGATCATATACCACATCTATCAAAAAAAAAGAAGAAAAAAAACCCCATACAATATTTATTGAGAATTGAGCAAAAAACAGAATAAAAACTGCAAAGCAGAAATTCAATCTTCACAGTGCAGGAGAATATTGATATTTTATGGGCTATGCCCTCATCACTAAAAATCAGTGCTCCTTTTTGTAAATGGATTGTCAGATATTTTATTTAAGCCCATCCTAAGGGAAGCAGCAAAAACCACTGAGTGTTGGTGCTCTGTTCCCACTGCCCTTGGCAAAACAAACCTGCCTTGTTAGAAATGAGAGGTTTAGAGGCTGATGCCAAGAACTTGCAGAAGTTTTCATCTGGAGTCAGTCCCTGGAGAGCAGAAACAGTGATGTGAGGTCAGTGAACAGCAGGGGGAGCGGAATGGTGATGCTCAGAGGGGGTTGTTTCCTACACAGAGGTGCCCAGATATGTGCACCACTGCAGTAACTCGTGCCACAGTGTGCTCAGGGCACATCCTGCTGCACTGAGGAACAGCAAATAGCAGGGACATGTCAGTGTCCCTCAGTTCTTGCCTTCTGCTGGGGCTGGTCTGGGCACTGAGCAGTGTCATTGGCATTAGGACTGTGCAGTGACTTTATTTTATAGAATTCCCATTCACTGCATCCTGTAATATCTTGGATGTCAAACTAATTTTGGCATCCAAGGTATCACCCACAGGTGCACAAGGGATCAACCCTTTTTGCACCTGGAGTCTCTGGGTTTTCTTTGCAAAGCTCCAAATCAGGTGTAAGACCTACAGCTGAGACATTCTGCTCTCACTGGGGATCACCACTATCGTCCCACTGGCACTAGGTTTTCCATGACTGGATTTTTTATAAAACTCCCTCTAAATTTATACACAGACAAGTCCAAGACAAGGTCTGTGGTTGGTTTTTGTAATTCTGTTATTCCTCAAGAGGCTGCCAGGGCTGCTGAGCCCTGCCCATCCCTACTCCCCATGAGTGGCTGCAGTACCTGCTGCAATGACAACATCAGCTCTGACACCCAGCAGTTGTTTTTCTGTCACTGAGCCCCAGTCAAGCTCAGCAACAATCACTTTTGGGTTTTGGCACTTCTCTCCTTCCACCTTCTGTCCTTGGGACTCTGTTTGGATGCTCCAGGTCACGTCAGGCTCCGGGATGAAGCCGTTTAGCCGGATGTTTTCTCCCAGCTGTCTGAGAACTTGGGGGTGGCAGTCACTAAATATGAATGTCCTGGGTTGGCAGGTTTTGCAGATGGCAATTCCAGTGAAACCAATCCCACTCCCTAATTCCAGGATTGTCCTGAGGGTAAAGGAGTAAAAAGTACTATCAGGACTCTGCACTGAGTTGGAAATCAAAACATTCTAAATATAATTAAAGGTAAAATCAGTTCCAGATAATTACAGTAATTTTTGAGTGAACGATCCACAATCTAACCTTTGACCCAAGCAACTAGAGAGTTGGGAATAACTGAGGGTGGAACTGTCAGCACAAAATTAATTAGCTGAAATGCTGATTCCTGTAAGGCACAAAGCATTCCCACCACAGGGATGAGAGACATTCCCACCTGGCTTTAGCCATCTGCAGCACAGTTGTTTCCACCTGAGCTGGCTTTCCAGTTTTTAGTCAGTGGTGAGAAACAGACACTGAGCAGCACAGTTCCTTCCCCTGTGAGCTTCATTATTATTAATTATCTCTCCTCAAAAGCCCTTGCTCATCCTGACTGCTTATAAATAAAGCAGAAATTATGTGATCAGAGCTGCACACTAATCATCTAATGTAGATAATACTTGGTGAACCCCACCACGGAGTGAAGGTCGTTAGTTAAATTACTGAAAACTGAACAGCTGACCTCACAGAGCAGGTCAGACTGCACAGTGCAAGGGTTTGATCCTAAACCACATCTTGACAGGTCCTCTCCTGGGTTAAAGTTTGGTAGAATAGACAAGAGCAGCAATTACTCAGCAGCAAAAGGGCTTAATTTCAGTTATTTTGGGTGTATAGTCTGTTATTAAATTACAGCTACTGTGTAGCTTACAGTATCAGGACTGGAGCCCCTCTGCTCTGGAGCCAGGCTGGGAGAGCTGGGGGTGCTCACCTGGAGAGGAGAAGGCTCCAGGGACACCTCAGAGCCCCTTCCAGGGCCTAAAGGGGCTCCAGGAGAGCTGCAGAGGGACTTTGCGTGCCAAGACACGGAGTAATGTCTTCCCACTGCCAGAGAGCAGGGAAAGATGGAATATTGGGGAGAAACTGTTCCCTGGGAGGGTGGGCAGGCCCTGGCACAGGGTGCCCAGAGAAGCTGTGGCTGCCCCTGGATCCCTGGAAGTGTCCAAGGCCAGGCTGGACGGGGCTTGGAGCAGCCTGGGACAGTGGAAGGTGTCTCTGCCCATGGCATGATGTCACTTCCCAGCCAAACCATTCTGTGATCCTACAGGAATGAAGAGCTCTTTCCTCATAACTCCAGCCCTGCTGCTGCCATACCTGTCCCTGAACACGCTGGGGTTCTGCAGTGCCCACTGGGCCAGGTGCAGAGCAGCTTCCCACGTGACGAGCCCCGTGGTGCCCCCAGAGATCAGCGCTGTGCTCTCAGAGAGACTCACACAGTCCCCCGTGGGCTGCAGGACAAGGGAAAGCAAAGATGGATCAGCACAGGCTGTGGATTTAGAGTTTACAGCAATAGTAACACCTGGAAAAAAGCAGGAAGCACTCCAGGCTTCAGGGTGGGTGTTTTTAAAGCCACTTCTTGCTTAGTTTGGGAGAGTAAATGTGGTTTAGAAGATTGCAGTGTCAGTTTTTACCAATATGTAGTTCTTGTAACAGTGAGTAGATTCTTCTTCTTTTAGAACATTTGCCAGTGACTCGTAGAGCTCATCCAGGGGTTCAGCTGCTGTGGATTCAAGCTGTGGGGAGGAGAACAGGGCAGCTCTGAGCATCACATTGTCATGAAACACAAAACAATTGCACTCTAAGCCCCATTTTAGTACAGTGTATTTACACTGAATGATGTGGGTGGTTATTACATGAGATATTTTCAATTAAAAAAAAAAAAAAAGAGCAAGTGAACAAGTGAAAAATAAGCTGAAAAAAGCAAAAGGTACCTTTTTGATAAGCTCAGTCAGGAAACACCTCCTGTACTTGGCCGAAGGGGGATATTTCACACACAGAGGGTGAAGAATTGTCTACAATGAGAACAGCCATGGAAACCAATTACCCAGGACAGGGTTTATGCAAGGCACTAAGGACTAGAGAAGGACCATTAATTGGCTCTGGGTGCCATGAAATGCATTGGAATTTAGTCTGAACAAAATATGCTAAGCCAGAAGTTTAAATGGGATGATTTCTGACAGATTTGTGAGTTTCCAGATCTATGGCCACAAATTTCTTACTTTTTGTGGCAACAAAAATCTCAATTTTCAATAGAGTAAAGAGAAAATGAGTAAAATAGTAAAGAGTGGAAATGATCCAATTTACTCTCTCCTTCTTTTCTCTTCTCTTCCTTCTTTCTGTTTTGGTTTGCTGCCTGATTTGTGATCTCCATCCGCAGGGACAGTTTGGGCACCACCATTCCCTGTATCCCCGAATATCCAGGAGCAGCTACGCTGACTGTGCCATTCACCACATCAGTGCTCTGACACGCGGGTCTCAATTTTGATCTAAGAGCACGCAAATACCAGCAGAGGAGGAAACCTGCAGTTCTGCAGAGCCTAACTAAACACTGCGACACCGGCTCACCGATCTCAGCATTTCCGAGCAATTCCGGGGGCTTTGGGACGCGCTGGCACCGCCCGTCGGTGGCACGGGGGTGACTCCGAGCTGTCCCTCACCTTGTGCAGAATATCCGCCAGCAGCTCGGAGTCCGGCGCAGCGCGCAGGCTTTGTTCGAGCTCCTAAAACAGGATAAGTAAATAAATAAATAAGGCGGCGGTGCCGCCTCCCCCCGCCCGGCCCCCCCCGTACCGGCCAGGGCAGCGAGCGGAGCGGGCGCGCAGCCAGGAACCGGCGCTGGAAGCGCAGCGCCAGCCCCGGCCGCGGCTCCGCCATGGCCCCGCAGAGCCGCGGCCGGGCAGGCCCCGAGTCCCCGGCCTCGCCTGGCGCAGTCCCCGGAGCAGGAGCCGCCCACAGGGCGGAGCGGCACCGCCCGACGCGGGCTGGAAGCAGAGAACGCCGGAGCGGGGATCGAACCCACGACCCCCCGGGACACGGCCGGGGGCCCCCACTGAACTGCCCGGGCCGGAAGGGGGCGCCACGACCCCACTGCGGCCACAGCGGGCCGGGCCTGACCCGGGCAGCGACAGCGCGGGAACACCGGGAGCAGGAAAACAAACCTCGGGATCTGGGGAAAAAACCTCGGGATGTGGGGAAAAAACCTCGGGATCTGGGGAAAAAACCTCGGGATGTGGGGAACAAACCTCGGGATCTGGGGAAAAAACCTCGGGATCTGGGGAAAAAACCTCGGGATCTGGGGAACAAACCTCGGGATGTGGGGAACAAACCTCGGGTTCTGGGGAACACCGGGAGCAGGGGAACATGGAATCACTGGATGAATCATTACGAACATGAGAATCATGGAATCATGGAAACACTGTAATTATGGAATCGTGGGATCATTAGAAACATGGAAGCACAGAATCACAGAATATTGTAATAATGGAATCAGTGGGATCATTGAATAGTTTGGCTGGGAAGGATGAGGGACCTTGAACCTTCCACCCTCTGCCAGGGGCAGGGACACCTTCCACTGTCCCAGGCTGCTCCAAGCCCCGTCCAGCCTGGCCTTGGACACTTCCAGGGATCCAGGGGCAGCCACAGCTTCTCTGGGCACCCTGTGCCAGGGCCTGCCCACCCTCCCAGGGAACAATTCCTTCCCAATATTCCATCTATCCCTGCCCTCTGGCAGTGGAAGCCATTCCCTGTGTCCTGTTCCTCCATGCTATTGCAAATAGACTTGCCCCGTCAGTTCCCTGCAGGCACTGGAAGAGGCCACATTTGAATCACCCCTGAGCTGTTTTTTCCCAGACACTCCCGGTTCCCTGAGCTCCCCTCACAGCAGAGCCGCCCCAACCCAGCCATCGCCCCGGTGGCCTTGGACGCGACACAACTGCGCGCGCCGTGACGTCACCTGCCGCGCGCCGCGGCGAAGGACACGGCGCCCGAGCGGGGCCGAACCGGACCGGAGCGAGCCGAGCGGGGCCGAGCCGGACCGGAGCGAGCCGAGCGGGGCCGAACCGGACCGGAGCGAGCGGGACTGGGCCGCCTCAGGCGCCATGAGCGGCCCCGTGCAGGATGAGAGGCTGCGGGTGCAGCAGCTCCGCGCCCTGCGGCGCCGCTGGCTGCGGGACCAGGAGCTGAGCCCTCGGGAGCCCGTCCTGCCGCCGCGGCAGCTTGGGCCCGTGGCCGCCTTCTGGGAGCGCTTCCTGCAGCCCGGGGATCTCTGGCGGCAGCAGGTGAGCGGCGGGACGCTGGCACCATACGGCCTTTCCTGGTCCCGGCCTCACTGTCCCTGTGCCCGCAGGTGCACAAATTCTACCAGGCCGGCCGCTTCGTCATGCTGCGGGTGCTGATCCCCGCCTGGGCCATCACCTACTACCTGAAGTACCACGTCCAGGTGCGTGCGGGCCCGGGGTGTTAAAGGGAATGCCGGGGAACGGGCGGGGAAACGCTGGGAAAAGCCCAGGGAGATGATGCGAGGAGTGATCCCACACCGAGTGTGTGAATGTGCTGCTTACATTCGGTTACAGATGAAGGCCGGATCCCCGTGGCCTGTTCACCACTTGTGTTTCCTTGCTGGGGTAGCACTTATGTATAAACGTTGTGTGATACTTCATCCCAAAGAATCTCCCTTGTGAGACCCCACCTGCAGAGCTGCCTCCAGCCCTGGGGCCAACAGCAGCAGGACGTGGAGCTGCTGGAGAGGATCCAGAGGAGCCCATGGAGATTCCCCAAGGGCTGGAGCCCCTCTGGAGCCAGGCTGGGAGAGCTGGGGGTGCTCACCTGGAGAGGAGAAGGCTCCAGGGACACCTCAGAGCCCCTTCCAGAGCCTAAAGGGGCTCCAGGAGAGCTGCAGAGGGACTTGGGACAAGGGATGGAGGGACAGGACACAGGGAATGGCTTCCACTGCCAGAGGGCAGGGATGGATGGGATATTGGGAAGGAATTGTTCCCTGGGAGGGTGGGGAGGCACTGGCACAGGGTGCCCAGAGAAGCTGTGGCTGTCCCTGGATCTCTGGAAGTGTCCAAGGCCAGGCTGGATGGGGCTTGGAGCAACTGGGGATAGTGGAAGGTGTCCCTGCTATGGCAGGGAGTGGAAGGTTTAAGGTCCCTTCCAACCAAAACCATTCCATGGCAGTGCCCAGCTTTTCCTGTGAGGTGAGCAGAAAAGTTTTGTCTGAATTGTTCCTGTCCTGCAGGAACAGCCCTGGGAATAACCAGGGCAGCTGTTGCTGTGGGGAGAGAAAAGGGCCAGCACTGCCCTCCATGGCAGATGTGACTGTTGTAGCCTCAGGTATTTCTCTAAGTAGCAGAAGGTTTAATGAGACTTGTGCTTAGCCCAGTTTGCATTCTGGAAAGGTCGTGGTGCCCATTTTGAAAGTCCTTTGTGCAAGTACACTGTTCTTTCTACTCTTTCTTTCTTTCTTGTGTCCCCCGCTTCCAGAAATTGCCTCACGGTGTGGTTGCGGCAAATCCACGGATATTCCCAGTAAGTCTCTTAACACTTGTCTCCCAGCTGTGTCACACAGACGGGAAGGGGTTTCCAGGGAGGTTTGTGCAGCACCTGAGAAATGTCTAGTGAATGACTTTCCCGAGGGATGTGCTGGGTCCTGTGGGCAGCACAGGGACAGTGGGTTTGGGCACTTTCATCTTGTCCTTAGTCCCTGTGGGACTTGCCCTCATTCCCCTTGGGAATGTTTGTGATTATTAGCACTCAGAATTATTAACACACATGATTATTAACATAGAATCAAACAGGAGTGGCTCTGCTTCTCCTCATTGTCAGCACAGGGAATGTTGGTTCTGGCCTCTTGGTCCTAGTTGTCCCTGAAGGTCCTCCACACTCATGTGTCCCCAAAGAGTTGTGTCACCTCAGCTTGGGACAAGTTTCATGAAGCAGAGAGTGTCACAATGTTTGGTCCTTTCTGTTTTCAGGCTGCTCTGAGCTATTAGTGGTGTAACAAATTAGAGGGCAAATATTCCCACAGAAGATCAGCTCTGCCCTGACTGCTGCCCATTTTTGAATAACACCTCCCAGCTGTGCTCTATCTAAAATAAAATTATAAAATATTCCATCCCAAACAACCACAAAGCAACACACTGAAGGTCAAGCTGTTGGCCTCAGTCTTCAGCCTAATTTTTCAGTTGAGTTAGGTCAGCTCAGCAGGCCAAGATTGTGCCTGGAGCCAGAACAAGTGGTACTGGGGCAGCAAGTTGATTTTTGAGGGATTGCACGGCCTTCCATGGGCTCTGGGCTGTGGGTTTGGACTCATCACTGCTGGAGGGGATTATGCAGCGTTGTAAGTAATTTTTAAAATAAAATGGGCTCAAAATTTGTTGCTGTTGTTCTGTAGTGAAAACAAGGGGTAAAGCAAGTACAGACTCCAGGTAATTGTGCTGTGATGTTATTCCTGTTTTCTGGGAATGTTGAGTGAATGAGAGTGTTCTGAGTGAGTTGTGGTGAGATTCTTGCCTGGAACTGGGGACAATTGCAGGTTCACTGAAGGACTGGGCTGTGCAGGGGGAGCCTGGATGCCACAGGGAATGCTCACCATGCTCTCATCCCACAGGGGGACAGGATTTTAGAGACTGGAGAGATCATGCCACCCCTGAGAGACGAGCTCCACAAGCACCACTGATGGCCAGGAGCAGATTTCCTCCTTGGGTGAACATGGTGAGAGCTGCACCTGCTCTGTCTCTTCCATAAAAGAGTCTTTATTCTGCATTGTCTCAGCTCTTCTGTCATGTACTGTCTCCTTAGTCTGTGTCATTGCAGGTGCTCCTCATGTGGGAGTTCATTATTGCTGGATCCTGGGGATCTCCAACCCCCTTACTCACCTTTCAATGAGACCTGGCAGCAGGACAGTGTGGGCCTTGAGGTGATGAGACACTCCGGATCCCAGGGATTTTGGAGCAGGCTGCTCCAAAGAGCAGAATCCCACTGAGCTCACTCACACTTGGTTCTCCTCTCCCACTCTACCAAACCCTTTCTACCAACCCATTCTGACAGAATTCCAGTGAAAACCTGGCTTCCACCTATGTCATCCCACCTCTCTGCCTAGGGAGGGTGGCAGAAGAGGCACTGCTTCCAAAAATCCTTTTTACCACTCTTTCCTCTGCCTTCAGCCCTTTCTGAGGAGGAGTCTTCCAGCCCCCACATACCTGGGGCACTTTGTACTGGGAAGACTGGTCTCTTGAAGAGCAGGGAGCTGGAGGCAATGATCCCTGTGGATCCCTTCCAACTCGACATATTCTATGATTTGAAGTGTTTTAGCAGCTACTTTGGGGATAGGAATGGTTAAACCAGCAATCCAAAGGGTAACCTGTGGGGCTGTGACAGAATCCCCTCATGGAGACACGAGAGAGCAGCCCAGCCTGTGTGAGGAGCAGGAGACTGGTCTGAGCCCCTGTACTGTGTTTGGGGACAGCCAGACCCCTCATAACAGCTCTGGTACAGACTTGAACCATTGGGGCCACGGCAAACATGGGGAAAACTGTCCAGCAGTCAAAGGAGATCAGGGGGCCCATGGACCCCATGCCCAGGGCCCTGCCAAACCCATGTCCCTTTCTTTCCTTGGGTAAACAGTGGCTCAGGGTGGGACAGCAGGTGGGGAATGAAGTGGTGGGGCAGTAGGATCCTCTGGGTCATCACTGGTGGGGCTGGGGAGTGAGCAGGGGCTGTTGGGGAGCACTGGGAAAGTAGAGTCAGGGAGAGACTGGGTGTTGATGGGCTATTGAGGGGTGTTGGGGTTGGTAGAGGGGCTGCAGGGGGGATGAGATTTGTCCTTCCCAAGGCCCTGGGGGTCCCTGTCACTACCCCTACCCCAAGGTGTGCCCAAGGGCCACAGCGAGCCCACCACCCTGGCCAGTGATCCAGGGAGGCCTCACCTCCCTGGGGTCCCCTCTGATGACAGCTGGGGTACCCCAAATCCCCGAGGTCTCCATGCATTTGTGCAGTGATTGTGAGGAACTGGGAACTGTGACATCTGTGGGACACCACACACCCAAGGGGTGCCTGATGCTCCCAGAGCTCCCAGATTCCCTCAAGAAGGTCCTGATATGCCCAGGACTCTGAAATTCCCCTAAGGAAATGCTGACAACTCCTCCTCTAGTGAGAATTCCCCCAGGACTACAGGGAATTCCTAGTAGCCCCAGAATGCCATGAACATTCCCAGAGCTCCAGCACCACAAGAGACACCCCAATCCCCCATGTCCCCATGATGTGGGGCCCAGGGGAGCATTTTGGGCCACAGACTCTGTCCCACGGACAGGTGTGGGCCCCTGGGATCACCTGGGGGTTTTGGAACAGATAATCCTCCCTGAGTAGAGGAGATGGATACCTTTCCCTTGAGCAGGGAGAGGTTTGAGTGTCACAACCACACAAAAAAAGACAACAGAGCACACTGTACATGTCCTGGCACAGCTGCAACGGAACCATTCATCTCCATCCCCTCAGCTGTCCCACTGCAGGTAACAGCACGTGGTGCTGGGTGAGCAGCAGGTGTCAGACTGCACACTGGACCTCTGCTGTGCCTCCACAAACAGTCTGGATCTTCCCTGGGGCATTCCTGTACCTCTCTCAAAGTCATCAAGTCCATTTCCCTAATACCAAAAACGTGGGTGATGCACTCTCTTGACAATGAAAGCAAAACTCTTCTGGGTTTGTACCACATTGTTCCCTCAAATGCTCTCAGTGTTGCACACACAGATATTACACACAGGACTACATCTTCTGCATAACTTGGAGATCCCTACCAGCTAAAAACATATCACTGGTCAGTGATAGATATACACAGATAATCAGAGAGTCGTGGAGTGGTTTGGGTTGAAGGAACTTTAAAGCTCATTTTGTGCCACCCCCTGCCATGGGCAGGGACACCTTCCACTAACCCAGGTTGTTCCAAGCCCTGTCCAGCCTGGTATTGGACTTTTCCAGGGATGGGGCAGCCACAGCCTCTCTGGGCAACCTGTGCCAGGGCCTCCACCACCTTTATTCAATATATATACATTATATATTTAGTTGAGGGTTGCATTTCCTTGCATCTGCCTTGCTGCAAAAAGCCTTCCATTGCAACAGCTCAAGGATGAAGATCTCCCCCAAACCAGTGATGGATCATTGACCTTCTGTCCTGCCCAGTGCGAGCCACCGGGACCCCCTCTTGCTCAGGCTGCAGCTGGGAGGGTTGAGGGCAGGTACTAGGAAAGAGCCATGTGCCAGTGTGGAGGTCAGCAGAGGTTAGAATGGAGGGAAGGCTCCTGGTGTCCTGGGAAATGAGGACTGGGAGACCCTGGGATGTAGAACATGCAAACCCTTTCTCTCTCTCACCTGATGTGCCCCAGGCAGGAGCTGCTGGTTCCAGCACAGCCAGAACACAATGGAATTCTCCCTGTGCATCCTCCAGTCCCTGCCAGCCCTGGGTGTGTACTCATGTGCTTGGCCAGCTGGGGCTGCTCCAGGCCACCTCCCATCCTCCGGGGTATCCCATGGCACAGAAGCTCAGGATCAGTGCCAGAGGAGCTCACAGAGATCTGGAGCCGTGTCTGGGCTGACACACATTGATCCACGGCTGCTTGGATCTCAGCTGTGCGAGTCCATGGTGTGGGGAGAGCTGGCTGATACTCTCCTCTGTCGGATTTGGGAATGGTGGTGGGTGGGGGTGAACCTTTGCAGCAGGAGGAATGCAAGGTTTGTATGGTCAAAAAAAGCTCAAGATGGCCCAGGCAGCTCCAGGAAAAAACATGGAATAGTCATTTTAGGAGACATGTCAGCTGGAGAAGAAGCTGGGGAACAGTCAGTGTGGAGTTACAATGCTTGAAAATGATTGTTTTCTGTGATGAGGTTTGCTCAGGGGATCAAGGAGGCCGTGGACCCCATGCTCAGGGCCCTGCCAAACCCACATCCCTTTCTTTCCTTGGGTAAGTGGTGGCTCAGGGTGGGACAGCAGGTGGGGAATGAACACGTGACATTCCCCTCACCTTTAGCCAGGCCATCAGCCACAGCATTCCTTCATTCCCAGGAATGCAGCTCACTGCAATATTGATGCCTCTGCTGCACCAAGTGTTTGATCCACTTTATCATCAATGACGGGAATTTGTCTGGAATAACTGGAATCCTTTTTCTTTCTCCAGTGCTTATAGATGTGATGGACACTACCAGTTATGGGCTTCAGTTTATCCAGCTAAAATTAGGGAATGTGGATCCCAGTTCACTGAATTTCTGACAGGCTGGGAGAGCTTGGGGTGTTCACCTGGAGAAGAGAAGGCTCCAGGGACACCTCAGAGCCCCTTCCAGGGCCTAAAGGGGCTCCAGGAGAGCTGTACAAGGACTTGGGACAAGGAATGGAAGAACAGGACATAGGGAATGGCTTCCCAGTGCCAGAGGGCAGGGATGGATGGGATATTGGGAAGGAATTGTTCCCTGGGAGGGTGGGCAGGCCCTGGCACAGGGTGCCCAGAGAAGCTGTGGCTGCCCCTGGATCCCTGGAAGTGTCCAAGGCCAGGTTGGGATGTGGCTTGGAGCAGCCTGGGATAGTGGAAAGTGTCCCTGCCAAGGCAGGAGCAGAATGAGAAGAGCTTTAATGTTCCTTCCAACCCAAACCTTCACATGATTGTAATTCCTAACTGAATATGCTGAAACCATCCACTTTTTGAAATCACTTTCTAACTGGGCAAAGTTTGCTTCATACATTTATTCTCCAAATAATGAGGGCCAGGCTGGTGACATAATTCCAGCCAGGATCTCTCTGTCATGCCAGAGCTGGGGTCTGTGCCGTGGAGATGACGAAGCCCACACATGCTGCAGAGACTCCTCTGCTGTGCTGTCACACTGCTCACACTCGTTAATAATCCTGAGCTTAACAAAAGGAGCTGAACCGAACTCCCCACTCATGGGCATGTTTTGGGTGCTTTGAGGAGCCAACTGCTATTCCATAAGGCTGAAGAGATCAGGGAGGAAGACACCCAGTAGGTCTCCTGTGACATGTGGGACCAGGACCTGGACACCTGAGGGTAGCCCATGTGGCACCAGAGTGCAGCCACTGAATGTCCCCATGTGCCAAATTATGGAGTTAATGCTCCATAGCTGGTGACAGATCTTATTGGAAACACCCACCATGGTGGAGCCAGCAGATTCTTTTAAATCCAGAATCTCTCTTTCCCCAGTAGATCCTGAGAGATTTTGCCCTACAATGGACAAGGCAGCCCCACTGGCCATGGCAGGATTCCTGGGGATGTCCTGTGCAGAGCCAGCTGGACTTGATGCTTCTGGTGGGTCTCTTCCAGCTTGGGATATTCCATGATCCTGTGATTTTGGGGATACCTGCTCTGTGCTTTCCTCAGGCACTGCTGGAGCACCGACCCCTCAACTTCCCCAACTGTGGAAATTTATCTGTGAGGGCAGCATGGGGCTGCTCCTCTCCTGGCCCACCCCAAAGAACAGTGGCAGAACTGTGTCTGCAGCCTCTAGAAACAATCTGTCTGCAAATAAATGTGTTGATACAACTGGTAGGCGCATCTTATAGAGGGATTAAGGGAAGCCCAAGCTCTTCATCAGCTTTTGGTCCCTGCATTGTCCTACAGAAGGTCTCAACAACACTTGCCATTTCAGCACCCCTCAACTGCCCACAGAGAAAGCCTGAGGTGCCCTTTGGGGAGGATCCAACAGCCTAAAGAGAACATTTTCCCTGTTTAGCAGCTGTCATGTTTCACTAAGCAGCCAGTAAACCCCCTCCAAG